TGTACGTATTCGTATATGCTTGTAAGCTTGTGTACATGTACGTTTATGAATCTATGTAAATAATTATTCACTCAAATGATGTGATATGATATATGTTCCAGGTCTTTTTCCTCCTTTAAATATGATCGAGTTTGATATCTTCAACTCTTGAATGTTTCATTGTTTTATGATGCGTTAAAAGTCTTGTATTAAATTTTTATTCAACAAATTCCAATTCGGAGTCGGAAGCTTTAAAATTTTTTATCCTACTTCGTCCCTCTGTCTTGCTGTTTAGTTTGTATATGTCCTGTATATTACATACAAATGTATGTCTAAATGATTGTATTTGTATATCTCATTTTTATTGATATTAAGTTACAATATATATGTTCAGACATGTATTTTGGGCTTATTTATGTTTTCTATGTATCCAAAAACAACGTTTGTTTATACAAATCATATTTGTCTTTATGTTTAATTTATGTAAGCAAACAGTCGTGGGTTAGCTGTTCGCTAAAATTTATGTGACAGCCGGACTATCTATTAATGAATAAGTTCATGAAACTAACAGAAAGAAACAAAATGCAACAAGATGAGAAGTATTTACATCAAAAATTTAAAATTTATGAGACATGTAATTTTGAAATATTTTTTGAAGTAAGCGGATTGTTTTATAGTTTTGCCTTAAAAGTAAAACCTGACTCGCATAAAATATGTTCGTTATTCTGCAAGATAAACATATATCTTCAATGTTGTAAAAAATGAATACCGACGCGTGACAGCACGCACATGCAACTTATTATAAATTGTACTAACATTTTTCTAATATTTATAATAAATAGATAAGAATAATTATGAATATAAATAAATAAATAAACACTAAATAAGAAAAATTTTGCCATATACAAATTAAAAATAATTTGATAAAAATAGGAAGAAAAAGAAAAAATATAAAAACCAAAAAAATGAAAAAAAAATCGACTTGTTTTTTACGGATTTGAGTAAAAAAACATTTTTATGAAAAAAATGAATTTATTACAAAATTCGACAAAAAAATCTTAAAATTGTACCTCGATTTAATTTTTTATTTAAAAAAATTCTAGTATCCTATTTTTTCATTAAGCCGTTGTCGGGATTGTTTGGCGCCAAGATTTAAGTGCGCATGCAATTTCCCAAGTGAAGCCAATCATATTAATATTAATATATTACCCGCCTTGTATAAAAAAGCCCGTTGATGATTTTCTGTTTGCTTGTTTGTTTAGACTTCCTCCGCGCTTAGAAATTAACTTTTGGGAATGGGAAGTTAATTTTGAAACGTAAAAAGTATTCATTACTACCACTACTACCACTCCTATAACCGTTAACACAAATACTATTATTACTATTATTATTACTGTTATTATTATTATTCTAACAAATCATAAGTTTTGTTAGAAGAATGGTTAATACCAATTCAACATAGGTGAGTCGTTTCTTCAATGATTAATGTAACGAAACCAACACACGTAAGTTGCCAGCTAAATTATCATCTATTATTATTATTATTATTCTTATTATTATTTCAATATAAATTGTCATCTATTATTATTATTATTATTATTTCAATATAAATATGAACAATTTCGAGTTGTACAAGCATAGGCCAAGCGAGTTTGCAGAAACAGAATGAACTTCCCCCAGGCTCGAGTCAACGTCGATCCCACAGAATGGCAGCACAATCAACATGGTGCCGTAGTGTGGCAGAGTCAACTTATACACAACAACCAACACAAGAACAGTGTTGTATGGTTATCAAAAACTATTGATATTTTCATTAGGGGTTTAATTATCTCTCTAATACATTGCAACGGTTATTTAATGTATTTTTGATCTTACTGGATTACTCAAACGTGTCAGCTATATAGAAAGGGTTTGATGGACGGAAGAGAGTCTTTTGCATTGGAAAGCAGTCATGGAAGTGTGAGAACGTGCGATTTAACATTTACAATACCTTGAACATACTACCTTGTTCTAGGATTCCGTGGTTAATACCATTTCAATGTCATTTTTCAGCAGCGATGCGTGGGCGAGGTATAAATGACACATCATTATTATTATTGTTAATTTATTACTTATGTTATTATTATTTATATTATCATTTATCATTATTATTATTAATTATTATTAATATTATTATTCTTACTATAACTATAACCCCTACAAGAATAATTTTGCTTATTTATAACCATTAACCAACTAACCCTACTACTAGAATCACACACACAAACACACACACACAAACACACACACACAATATTCACATAGACACACACACACACACTCACACACAAACACACACACACATAGACACATACACACACAAACACATAAACACGCGTACGTTCAGCAATGCATAAACAGTACCAGCATATAATTAACCCCCAAGATAAATACATGAAGATTAAATAAATATATATTTACAAATTTATCCAGACATTAGCTACATTCTTCAGGACCTTTCCACTCAACCCTAACGCATTCATTGATGAGCACGTTTTATACATGAACATCCATTTGTTTCTATGCTGTATAGTCATTTATCATGACACACACACACACACACACTCACACAAACGCACTCGCACATGATGTGGAGCGAGTTGGAAGATGGATAGCGAGGTACTACACTTATGTAATTATTACCGATTATCAATCAAGACGTTCAATCAGAATTTGGAAGTGAGCTGAGCAGAGTAGAATTTGTATTGTAATGTGATATATCTTGAATGTGAGATGAAGTTGTGCTTTTGAAACATCAATACTAACAAAGTAAAAGCATGCATGCATGTGTGTGTGTGTGTGTGTGTGTGTTAAAAGTTAAAGGTTACTCTCTCACTTTTGCGTTTGCTTCAAAGGTTTCAACGACAAACACACACAGCGTATATGAATACGCGTGCAAACCACGCATCATACACATTGCATATGATAGGCGGTGATCTCTTTGTATTCGAACCCAGTCGTTGCAATGGCAGGACAAGGCGCCTTTAACCACTGAGCCATCACGCCGCCCATGTGTGTGTTTGTTGTGTGCGTGAGGGTATGTGTGTGAGGGTATGTGTGTGTGGATGTATGTGTGTGTCCAACTTCAAGCAAACTAACAACAAATTAACTTTTTATATGTAAAGGAGTCCATTTAAAAATTATTTTGAATTAACAAATATGTGGCACAAATTTCAAAAACTATGGAATAAAACTAGAATTACTAACAAAAACTCGATAAATAATTGTTCTAATTTAATAATCATGAACAAATCAAATTATTCAAAATGAAGTCAGAAAACATTGCCTCGTCATCATAATTTCGATGAATTTTCGGACATCCTCAAAATGGGACTTTGTTGTTTAATTAATTTTCATATCAGCATTTAATGAATGATGCGGATGAAATGTGAATAAACGTTAAAGTAAGCACTGACAGTCAACCATAACAACCAATCAGGCCAACTTATTCCATTTCTAATCTGCATAACAATAAGAAATTTTTTTGATATAAGTAAGACCTGTTCAGGTTAACAAGCTCATAAAGTAAATAAAGTGCAAAATAATAATTACCGGTTAATAATAAAAAAGAAATTTTCACGACGCTTGTATGAAAGTTAGTATTTATTGGTGGTGATTTTTTGCGGTCATCACCCTGACAGAATATTTTGTGGTTCAGGAAATTATTAAATAAATACAAAGCAAGGGAACACTATAAAAAGCTCAACATAAATGAAAACAGTGGGTTGTCATTCAAGATTAGCCATAGTAAAATAAATCTGCCTGAAAAAACATGAAAATTCACTTTGCAACAAATAAGCAGTAGTAGCAGCAACAACAACAACAACCACTAACAACAAGCCTATTAACCTACCTACACAAGAAACCCAGCATGTCCTCAACAAACAACACCCACTTGGTGTATGTGACCGTGATGCTCATCATGTTCATCTTCCTCATCACGTTCATGGCACGAAGAGCATCATTCTGTTAGAACCATCGGCTCCTCATCAGCAAGAATGAGTGCTTGCTCGTTCATCCAGCTTCATTTCTCTTCAATTAGCTCTAAACTGGATGCGAAATTTTTTCTATGCAAATAATTGTTGTGGTAATTAATGTATATTACTACTAGCTGATGTCGTGCTTCAATTAATTTTTTACAAAAAAATCGGACGATTTCAATTTCAAACTAAACTGAATTGATTGCTTTGATTCTTAAATTCAATTTTATGTTTGTTAATCTATTTGATGTTTGTTAGTTCATTTTATAAAACAAAATGTGATCCATTGTATAAAGTAAACAATAAAATATATTTGTTACCAAGACAATACATACCTGTGTCCTGTTTAATGTTCACTTAGAAATGGGAGATATAAAATCAAATTGAAATATTGATAATCACATTTTGAATTTTTTGAAAAGTTTGTCTAATGCAAAGTCATGATTATTAATTATTTTTAGATTTTCTTGCGGTACACAGGATGCAAAAATTTAACTACTCTACTAAAATTGTTTTTAGTTAAATTGTAAATGGTTCAAAAAATTGAAACAAAACTTAAATCCAAATTTGCCATAGTTTGAAGACATCAAATTAAATTTTAACTTTTGTTCAAAGTGAACCTCCGATAAACTAACCTTCAGATGAAATCTATGAAATATGATCGTTTATGTTAGGTCCACGCTTTACAACAGCGTTATATGAGACACACACCTCTAGTATTACGAACAGAGCATTATGATGGACACACGCATTTGAGCCTTCCATGCAACAAGCAAATGATTGATTGAACAGTTGTTGTTGACCTTAGATTTTGTTCAATGAATAGTCATCAATTAATTTGTTTTTGTTTCATAGAAACCTTTCATTGGCCCAATTATTTTGTTTTTAATTTGATATTTGTCGTTCATCTTGGCAATACGCGTATTGCATAAGACGATATTAGATCGGACATATCTGAAAAGGCTTTTTATTGGCGGACAACTTCAATTCAATTTATTGAATCTAATGCAGCTTCATGTAAATAAGCATGATAGATTTGAAGCAGCTGCTACCCACCTGGCCTGGCAGGTTTAAATTCACTTAACGTGCATTGAAATAATTAGGTGACCCGATTCATTATATGAACGAAAATAATTTTTTTTATCCTTCTGCTTCAAATGTAATCCAAATTTTATTACTTACTTACGCGTTTCATGGTCAGTTCGACCTTGCCCTCAATCCAACTATGATTAGTTTTACAAATGTTCGCAGTTTGACGGCAAATAAATTATTTATAAAATAGATTATAACGAAATCTTTTGTTACTTTTAAACATCGTAAAATGAAGAAGCCTCAGGTCACCCACCACTGATGTCTCACAGTACGTACGCGCTCACATCCGTTTCACGCATGTTTATGTGCGGTTTTTCATTGCATTAAAAGTGGTTACCTTACTTTGTTTGAAGCTTTTTTTTATGAATTGTTTTCATATTATCAGCTTGCTTGAAAATTTTTAAATTGTTTCATGCGAATGACCAGCCTATTTTCATTTGAAATGAAAATTCTAAATTAAAATGGAAATGTTTAAAAATAAATTTTTAGGTTTGATCAAATTTTTCATCTACACTTTAATTTATCATCTTGTTAGTGTAAAAACTTCCCTGTTATATTTTACTTTCTCTATTTACTTACTAAAATTAACCAGATGTTAATTACTACCAATCATAAATTTTTTGCTTTTGGCAGATTGCAAAATTGAAATATATTTCTCTGCGTTGTATTCATAAGTTTTACGGGTCCACTGGAATATTTTTCTACATTTTTTAATTTTTCGACAAATTTATAAGAAGGTTATTCAAATAATATATATATCTTTATTAAAATTTATGATCTGGTCAGAAAAGTATGCAAAATAAATGACTGCAACCTGACTGGCTTGTCTCCAGTGCGCAAAATTTAAGACATTTAAGACAAAAATTTAATGCGTAAAACCTTTCACTCTAAAACTTATTTATTAATTATTTATTTATTTATTATTTATTTAATTTTCATCCTCACCACCCTCATCATCATCATCACCCCCATCTTTATCATTATCCTCTTCACCATCATCATCACCGCTATCGTCATCATTACCAGCAGCAGCAACAACAACAACATCATCATCACCGATATATGCTTATAATCAGTTTTCACCCATGGTTTTCACTAAGACAAAATTTTGTTATTTCCGTTGTCAGATTTTAAAGTTTTTTGAATATTTTCCAAACGAACTGACAAATAAAAAAATGTATTAAAATTTTTCTATCAATGGTCTCAAGTTCTATAATTTTTCAAAAAATTTTTGTTCAAATAATTGCCTTAAAAATATTAGAATAGTTATAACAACAACATCAGCAGCAGCAACAACAGCAGCGTCAACAACAACAGCAACAACAACATTTACATTAAACAACTATTGGAATTTGGAATATTGATAGCATTAAAATATTGCTGTCACCATCATCGTCGCTGTTATCATTATGCCTCCTTAATATTCGCAGCTCAGTTGTAAAACCCCAAACAAATATCTATCTATCTATCTATCTATCTATCTATCTATATATATATATATATATATATCCATCTATCCATCCACTATCTATCATTTTATTTATCCATCCATCTATCTATTTTTCTATCCATCTATTTACCCATCTCCACCACTATCTCATCTATAAATCCTCAACATTTTTTTGTCTTACACCATCGTCATCATCGTCGTCGTCCTCACTATCATCATCATCATCATCATCGTCGTCGTCGTCGTCATCATTGCGGATCATATTTTTTAATTGCGACACGGCCTCGTGTGGCGACCGCTGCATGATCTGCATGATGTACTCGGCTGCCGATTCCACGAACGCTCCCAAAATATTCCTCCGAAAAATGGCGTAATCTATTTCCATCTGTCCATCCGGTTGATAGGATGCTGAGTTGTGATAATGATGATGACAAAAATGATGCTATTGTTGATCGTAAGTATCCATATTATCATCATAATCCTAAACATCATTCTCATCATCATCATATATTCCATATCATGATCATGATCATCATCACCATCATCATCATCATCTTACACCACCCTGTGATGATATAACTCAACTGACCTGATGATATAATACCATTTAACCTGTCCTGTTCTTGCTTTATGACCTTTGAACTCTTCGTGTCCACTATCAATTGCAACATCTCAATGTAGTAGGCCGCATGTCTGGATGAATGAATGAATTATTAGATGGATTGAATGGGTTGATGGGTGAATGTAGTAATTGTTGAGTTAATATAGAATATAGATGAATTACTAGTAGGTTTAATGAATGAAAAAATAAATGAACTGATAGATGGATGGATGATTGAATTAGAAGATGGATGGATGATTAAATAATTGGATTGATTGATAGATGAACAAATGAATAGATGGATGGATACTGCAAATTATTCATTTTTAGTTGTATGTTGGTTTGATGGCTGAAAATAAAAATAATGATTGATCGCAGGACCGCCTTAAAGATAACATTTTGTAATAAAATCGAATGAATAGATGGATGAATTGATGGATGGATGCATGGATGGATAGATGCATGGATGGATGAATGCATGGATAGATACGCCGACAGAAAAATGCGAATACAAAGAAAAAAATCGATGAAAAAGTAACGAAATAAGAGATGCTGATTCTATGAACTGTGCCAGCGATTTCCCATTAAAATTTTTATTTGAAATAATTTGCATGCAAAAGCAAAACTTTTGGACCAAACATCTTTTTATGGATTTGTAGATTAACACTTTTGAAGGCGGTGGAAGTATCTAGATGAAGTCATCACGTCGTCGTCATCTTTATCCTTAGGTTGTCATCATCTTCCTCTTCAACAATTTATCTTTTTAACCTCAACTAAAATTTACTATTTGACCAAACTTAATTTTTATAGCGTTTAATTTTTGTTTTGCAGCTTTTCATTCTGTTTTTTTATTTTCTTACACGTTCACGGGTTACCGATATGATCAAATTTTGTCATTTAAAACAGCAAAAAATTACAAAAATAACACCCCTAAATGTAAATGTTATTAAAAACTTTGAAAAAATTATTCACCAATAACAACAACGTCATATTTTGTAAAAATTTTCTAGTTTTAGTTAATAAAATTTTCCAAACACTTTTGAATTGTCGCAAATTTCATCTTAACGTCATACACAGAAATAAGTTTCCTTTAAAGTATCAAATGATCTAAAATGCATTTCCAATTAAGTTTTCCATTTATACCTCCAGGCGTTGTTACATTAGAACGGTTCACAATCCAGAGAAGTCTCATCATGTAAGACTACAACTCTATTCTTTTTTACTCACCAAAAAAGTTGATTTGTAAATTTTTAATGCAATTATCTATAATTGGTCATTAATTATTATTTGCTATAATCTCTTAGTGCTCCAAATAAAAAGCTTCTCTGCCATCTTACGTTTCTTACATATACATTTTTACACTCAAATTCATCATCATAATAGACATATTATTATGTCTTACTCTAGAGACTTTCTCTTAAGCCTTTCTAATACCCCTTTATCTCTAATGAGAATAGCTCGGCGGCGAATCTATTACATTAATCTTAGGGCTAAATAATAGGTGCAATAAATCTAACTCAAATACAACTAATAAAAAAATAAATTCAGTTGGTAGCAAGCAGTAGTAATAGCAAGAGCATAATAAATTAAACAAATTATGCTATAATATAATTAATACTAATGATAAGAATAATAATTCTATTAATTTAAATAATATAACTGATATAACTAGATATAATAATTACACTATTCAACCTACTTCTACATTTTCACTATTTAATATTAACATAAGATCGATTAATAAAAATCACTTTATATTCAGAAAATAATCTCTTCCCCTTTACCTGATTTTTTTTGTCTTACTGAAACTTGGCACGAGGACTCTTACTCTCCCTCTCATATTCTTGCTACTCCTGATGGTTACAGCTTTCTCGAACTCTCTAGACCTCCAAACGATCCTCTCTATTTTCCTCATTCATCTAATAAGGGTGTCTGTCTATTCTGTGAATCTGCTTCTATCGATACTTCTTCTCTACATGTCGTTCTTCAATTATCGCTTGGTCTGACTCTATGTGTCTTAAACTTAATCCTTCTCAATTTGAATTAATTTGTTTTAATAAATTATTACGCCTTATTACTATTCTTTCTATTATCTTACCTGATTCTAAAACACTTGATGTTTCTTACAAGTTTCGTATCCTAGGCTTTATCGTTGATTCTAGCATGTTTCTTTATTCTCAGATTAATAATGTTGCTAGAAGTTCTTACTTTCATCTACGTAGAATAAAAGAAACTTTTGGCTTTTCTTGACGATCCTACTTTTCTTCTTCTTGTTATTTCCTTAGTTTTATCTTAGATTGATTATTGTAACTTGCTCTACTATGGTCTTCCTGATTCTACACTATACCCTTTAAGTAAAGCTTTTAACTCTGCTGCTCGTCTAGTTGCTCGTGCCCCTTTCTTCTCTCATATATCTCCTTATCTTGTTCTCTTGCACTTGTTACCTATAAAATATAGAATAATTTTAAAAATTTGCCCATTTATGTATAAGTCTCAGTCTAAATTATTAATTGAACCTAAACGCGTCGGTTTACGATCGTCTTCTTGTTCTCACTTCTTCTTAACTCGTGTTAAAAACTCTTTTGCTAAATTTGCATTTGCATTTTCTGGCCCTTTTCTCTGAAATTCTCTATTTCCTTCTCTGACTACTTCTCCATCACTTACAAAGTTCAAAGCGGATCTCAAGACCCATCTGTTTGCAAAATTCATTGAGGAGCGCTGTTGAACATCGCGGAAAAAGCGCTTTATAAACTAATTGAGTGATTGATTTGTAATCCAAAAATTAACAATAATAGTAATAATCATAGTAATAATAAAGTTAATAATAATATACTTATTATTATTATTATTATTATTTTTATTATTATTATTATAGTTACTCTTTTACGATGTTTCTCTGCTTGGAGAGGTTTTTCGCTTCCTTCAAGGCTTTTCCCTGGTTTTTTAAAATAACATCATTAACATTATTGTTTATTCAAACATGATTATTATTATGATTTTTATTGTTATTATTATCATTAATTTTATTATTATTATTATTTTGATTATTATTATTAGTAGTAGTAGCAGTACTAGGATAGTAACACTAGTAATAGTAGTAGTAGTAGTAGTAGTAGTAGTAGTAGTAGTAGTAGTAGTAGTAGTAGTAGTAGTAGTAGTAGTAGTAGTAGTGGTAGAAACTTTCCGATAGCTCACCTTAACCAGAATTTAATACTAATCATTTGCTAAATTTTTAAAAATTATTAAAATTGCAACAAACTAATGTTTTAGAACAGGGGTGGACTAACTTTTTGCTGTGAGGGCCGCATTGAGAATTATTTTATTTTAGAAGGGCCGCATATGTACTTAAATAGCAAAATTTTTGACTTGGGGAAGAATTTTTAGATTTTAAAGATTTGTGGCCCTTTTTCCTTTTTTTGATCGTAATGTTTGGCTGACGACCTTTTTTGGCGAACAAACGAACAAGGCTTCGCGTGCCGCATAAAATAGCTTCGCGGACCGTAGTTTACCCACCCATGTGTTTTAGAATATAAAAAGTTAAGAAAACATTCACCAGGTGTCTGCCCTCATTCAGTTGTTTGCCGTATCTAAGTAACATGACGTCGAATGACTTGATACGTCCTATCTGGTTTTGCTGACGATGGCGATGGTGAGGAAGAAGATGATGATGAGGTGGATGGTGACGATGGGAAGGATGAAGGTGATAATGTTGGTGAAAAAGAACTGCTATGGTGACAATTATATCAATAATAAAAATGCCACATACTAAAAAACTCCAGAATGGTGCATACAAACTTTTAAGAGTTTTAAGAGTTTTAAAAACATAGACACAACTAAATACAAATCTTATAAAAATTAAATATAACATACAATAACGAGATACAAAAACATACAAAAGATACAAAAATTCTCAACATCAGCAGCCAGCCGGCAATATATACCATCTCACGTACCGTTGAGTCATCCGATTCATCTCTTATAATTTCACAACTGGAAGGTTTGACGTCCACTAGTGTTATGACGATGATTACTATTATTGTTATTATTGTTTTTGTAGTTGTTGTGGGTGATGACGACGACGATAACCATGCTGTCAACATTATTGCGATATTCTCGTGTTTTTTGCTGATGTTGTTGAAGATTTTCTTATTAATGCTATTATTGTTGACGTTGTTGTTGTTGTTGTTGTTGACGTTGTTGTTGTTGTTGTTGTTGTTGTTGTTGTTGATGTTGATGATGATGTTGCAACTGGCAATGTTTTGTGCAACTTTAGCAAGAGTATTCACGTTGAAATTTAATTAAGATTATTGATTTGAATCACAAATTTGTGCGTGTATGTATGTATGCGTACGTTTGCGTTGGAAGTTATCGAACAGTTTAAGTGTTCTATGACCATGAAATTTAGAAAATTCATTTTAATTTAATTGATTTTCATAATTCAGAAATGAATTCTTGCTAAATGGTAACGAATTTAAAAGAAATCTTAATCAATTAATCTTTAAATAATTTATTTCAGCGTACACATAAACACACACGCAAATATATGTAAATACACTCAAACATACGCGCGCACACACACACACACACACACACACTCTGAAACAAACATGCTCACTTATATATACATACGTTCATACATGTCTTTAACACGTGTCTATAAGATTATATATATATATATATATATAGAAAGAGAGAGAGAGAGAGAAAGAGAAAAAAAACGAGAGAGGGAAACGCATATAATGTATATTGATTTTCTAGTAACAGGTTGTGTGAAGCGAGTTTTAACACTGAGACTGATTAAAATTTGTATGGGCGGGTGCGTACGTGTAGCTCTTGTTTTGTGTGTGCGTGTCTGTGTATTTGTGTCTGTATGAGTGCGTAAGTATGTGTAAATTTGTGAGTGTGTGTTAGTGTATGTATGTGTGGGTTTGTGTGTGTGAGTGTGTGTCTGTGTGTGAGTCTGGATGTTTGTGTGTGTGTGTTTGTCTCCGTGTGTGTGTGTGTGTGTGTGTGTGTGTTTGTGTCTGTCTATGAGTGTGTAAGTATGTGCGTGTGTTCGACGTTCGACCAAGCATTTTTATTTTAGATTGACTTAATTGTTTGTGGTGAATTCCATAATAAAATCTAAAGATTTTATTTATTACCATTATATTTATTATTTTTATCAATACAGCAGTATCGGCAGCATCATACAACTCACCTTATAAAAAAACTATCTCCACCTCAGTCAGCGTCATCATCTTCATCATTTTCATCGTCATCATATCTTCCTGGTCATCATCATTGTCGTCGTCATCGTCAACATCATTTTAGTATAACAGGTTGTATAGTAAGAGTTTTATAACTGAAGCTGATTAAATTCATCATTAATCGTCATCATCATTATCAATTCTGTTATCGTTATCATCATCATCATCATCATCACCATTATTATCACCATCATCATCGCCATCATCATCATCGCCATCATCATCATCACCATCATCATCACCATCTTCAACGTTATCTGTTCCATGCCATCATCATCTTCGAGCTTAGATTGATTTTAATTCAGTTTTAAGGTCCTTTTCAATGACATAAAATTGAATCAAGAAAATCTCTCTCTCTCTCTCTCTCACTCTCTCTCTCTTATTTGTTTTTAAATTTTCATCTCTCTGTATATCTATCTCTATATATCTTTTACTATCTCATCGTTCTTCCTATTGTCACTTTCTCACTGTCTCTCTCTCTCTTTCACCCTTTTTTTTTATTTTCACCTGCATCATCTCTTTCCATTTTGCCATTTCTTATCTCTTCTCTCCATCTTTTTCGTATTTCCATAACTCGATTTTTCCACGTCCAGTTTCACCATTCGTCCGCTCGTACCAGTCTACAGTGCATGCATACTGTACGAGTACACGTGCACTTGTCTTTGTTAGTGCCTGCCTACTCTATATTTCTACTTCTTTTAAAATATGTTTCAACTTTGTTGGTGTTTTTTTTAGAGGAAAATTGTTGTTTCTGATATTTGTAAGCTGTTGTTTGTGTTTGTCGTCGTTGATATTCAAGTAGTTATTACAGTAAAAACAAAGTCTGCGTATGTTAATGACTACTTTTTATATTGTAAATAGTAAAAATTGGCCGCACTAAAAATGATTAATAAATTAATTGAGATAATTAAAGCAATAACAGAGATGAAGATTATTTTCTTTAACCTGCAGGCTATGCAAATGGAAGGTTTATTCAATGATTAAATACTTGATGTTCGCTAGGCTGGTTAACCAAATACTTGCTTACGTATTCATGACGTCATAATAAAACATCAACAATACCGACAACACCAACATAAATAACAACAACAACAGCAATGAAAAGAACATCAACAACATTCTCACAATGAAAACCAATAACAATGTCGTCAGTATTATCCTTTTGGTTGTTATCGCAACAACGTAATCAACACCAATGTTCCTATCAACATTTTAATAAACAAACACAGCAACAATAACAACAACAACAATAATAATAATAATAACAGAGATATAAACAAAAAAATGAATCAGGCAGGATATATATTTTGTTATCTTACCAACGGCAATTGTTGAAAATGAGCAAAAAAATGTTGTCAACTTGTTGAGCAAAAATTTTTTTAGCAAACATCGGCCACTTGACTTATTACAACAATTTTTATAACTATTATAACAGCAGCAGCAACAATACAACAACAAAAAAATCAACAAAAACCATCACAACAACAACAACGCTATCAACAAACGCGTGAACCAACAACAACAACAACAATATTAACAATAATGCACGTCCACAAAACGAGAAAAAATATTAACAACAACATCAACAATAACACAACAACATTACAATCGTAATAAAACATCCAACATCCAAAATTACAATAGCGTTATAATAACAACAAAAACA